TAGATTTGCATTGAGCATTGTTTTGTAAAAATAAAATAATTAATAAAACACCGGATTATATATATTACTGTTCTTTTTCTTTATTATAATATATATATATATATATATATATATATATATATATATATATATATATATATATATATTTTGTGTATTTCATTCATACACGTTTCATAAAATTATTTTCATTCATACATATTTATATATAATATATATATATATATATATATATATATATATATATATATATATATATATATAAAGCTGTCACGCATGAAATTACGCATGTTACAGGAAGGGAATAAAACGCTTCTGAAATGTTAAATAACTAATTTATTTAGTTGAAATAGGCACCATGCTGATGAATGACTGTTCTCCAACGTACCTCTAAATTCTTGATCCCATTGTTTTTATTTTTATAGGTACCTCCACGAAATCGCTAAAAAAAGGATCATAGTCTGATGAAAAAGACGCCAAACTTTATGAAAACAAAATTTTATCGTCTAAATGCTTATGTTTTTATGAAGAGGAAAGACCAATTTTTTTTTAATTATTTTAAAAAAATTTTCCTTCTTTTTAGAATATTCTAAATTTTGATTAAAAAAACCTTGTTTCTCTTTGTATCACCGGGACTAGTAAATAACAGACAATTTTTGACACGTTTTTTTTTTTTTTTTTGCATTACACACATTAATTTGGAAAATCTTGCAAAAATAAAAATAATTGTCAGATGTTAATGAAACTTTCAGAAACTATTCACAGATAATCGAAATTATTATAAATATGTTTTTTTTATTAAAGTCATGGCAGAAATATTTTTTTATATTTATTAACACCCCCATAACTAATTTTATGAAAAGCTCTAGAAATTCAAGCGCATCAACTTTAGTGATTACAATAGTTAAAAACACAAGGCTTTGAAGAATGCAAATCATGTTTTGGGGGTTTTTTTTTAATTGGATCCGCGGTACCTGATAATCAGCTCTGAATTTTAACATACAAAACTCAAAAACAAATATATTATTTAATTTCAAATGCTTTTATTTGTTTTTAGTTGTTTTTATAAATGTGGACAATATTTTCTAAAAGCAAAAAAACTTTTCAATGAAAATTGAATTTTTAATACAATTATTTGTTATTTCTTTAATTATAATAGATTTTTACGTTAAGTTTTTAAAAAATGTTATAACCTTAGTTAAAAGCCACGTCAACTTTTCTAAGTGTCCTTATGAGATTGTCATTGTCTAGCGCTTTGAAAATTGTATCATTTGGACCAATCAGAAGATCCGCAGTAATTAAGAAATGTAATTTTGTGTTTATAATCGGGTGGTAATTATAAAGTACGGAAGACCAACCAGAATACAATTTATTTGCATTATTTGAGTTCAACATTGTTCTCCGCTGTTAAGGCCTTTACTTTTGCGAAACACGTATGGAGAAGTTAATTTGATTTTTCAATTTCAACTGAGAAGGGTACCTATAAGTAACAGTATCATCTTATGAAATTTAACTACTGCTAAACTTTAATTTATATGATCTTATTTTTATATTCATTTCAGTTATGACATTTTTCCATAAATAAAATATCAAAATTAATAATAAAATGAATGGAAATACAAATAACACAGTAAAATGTAATAAATGTACATAAAATTATAGTATTTTATGTACACTTCTGATAAAATTTCATAAGAAAGGTACCTATAAATTAATTAGATACCTTTCTTATGAAATTTAATCTCACTCTTAACAGTCTTATTTTTTAATTTCTTTATATTTTCCATAAAACATCGTAAACGTAAAGATGAAAGCTAAGTACAAAAAAAAATTAAAAAGTTAGAGCGCTGAAAGTTTTCATTAAACGTAACGAGGTAAATACTTTGTTCACTTAAATCTAAATAATTTCACTTCCTTCCATCCGTAGAAAGAATTCTCCTCCCGTAAGTTATCTAAACGTCATGACAATGTCTTTCGTCACCTGTCAAATGACGCGAAAGGTTATGACCTGCTTTGTTTTATTTTCAAATTACATTTTTTCGGCGCAGAAGATAAGTTAAGCTTGGTTCAAAATATTTTAAATAAACATTATAATTTCTGATTCTATTAAAATAAGTTTTGGAAAAATGATAATTGATTTTTAAAAGAATATCAAAGTCAGATTTTCATCTTTTTTATAAAATGGAAAAAATGATTGAAAATCATGGATTATGTTCTCTTTTTTTTGACAAAAAAAAAACAAGATTTTTAACGAAAATTTCGGACGTGCTAGGAACGATTAAAAAATGTAAAAAAATACCCCCAAAATACTTTGATCTCTCCTCTTTAATAATAATATGAACATTAGACGATAAAATTTTGTTTTCGTCAAGTTCGGCGTCTTTTTCATCATGCTATGCTCTTTTTGTTTACATTTCGTAGAGGTACCTATTTTTATAAACAGTTCAAATGCTTCTATTACCTCTTCTTTGTTAGATAATGTTTTATTGCGTATGAAAAGATCAAAATGCTTAAATAAGTGATAATCAGCAGGAGAGATATCGGGTGAATTTGGAGGATGAGGCAAAATTTCATAATTCAGGCTATGCCGATTTTGGTCATTTGACTGAGAAGCGCACATCCGCGCGTTTTCGTGCAGCAAAACTGGGCCATCCCTATTCACAAGACTAGGATGTTTCTTTTTCAGTTCTCGTGTATACACCCAATTTCTCCGCAATACGAGATTGCTGTTATTGTTTTCCCTTGGGACATTTTCCCTTTTTGGGATTTGATTTAAGAAGAATTTTGTTATTATCGGTTGCGTGTCTAATGAATTCCCAAACAAATATACAAACAAGCGTGAGATTTCAAACAAGGAAAAAACAGAGACATATATAGATCAAACAATAAAAGCATTTAACCATTTATTAAAATGCGTGCGTAAATTGTATGTGTTGCTGGAATGTTTGATGTCTCTGTTTTATGTTTGCTATTTTCTTGTTTTATTGGAGTAATAAGATTTAAGAGTTTTTTTGCAAAGTTTGTCGAAGTAGTCTACCTTTGAACGTGTTTGTGTTTGTATCGTATTTCTCGCCTACTGTCTTACTGTTGCCAAAAAGTATATATTTTTTCCAAACGTTGCATTTAATGTTTTCGGTGAATTTGCTAGACAAAAATGGTTGGTTTTTCTTTATCGTCTGGTACTCATACATCTTGAAGGTTGGTAAGATGACCTTCCACTGAAAGGGGCTGTCTGCCTTTCCTTTATATAACACGGTTTTCATCAAGTCGTTTTGGCGCATTTTTCATTGGAATACTTGCCATTTTCTATTGGTTGAGGTTTTTCTGTACGTAGGCGTATATGTGCCTTTTTAAGGTTAGAAAATACTAGAAAATTACGTGGAAAGAAAGATACAGTAACCATTAAAATTTTATTTCAAGATCTATTATGTCTTACTAAAAGTATATATTTCTAATTGCATGGAGATTACTTTTCACGTTAGACGACCGGATTAATCAATTGTACCAACCAAAATTGAAAGCAAATCGTGGAAAGAAAGAAAACCTATATAAGATATATATATTATACGTATTATATATTATAAAACCTAATATATATATATATATATATATATATATATATATATATATATATATATATATATATATATATATATATATATATATATATATAAACTGTTACATTAGAACATGAAAGTTATGCAGTTTTGTAGTAGTAACTTACATGTTCTAATGTAACACTTTATAATAAATATTTATTGCTCTACTCTTGTATTGAGTCCTTTTTAAATAAATGTTATGAAAGTTTGAATTTTATTCTTTTCGTTCTTTTACATTTGTATATATATATATATATATATATATATATATATATATATAATTGTCTATTTAGGTAGCAATCCCTCTCTTATACATGCTTCATTTAACACCACCCACAAAGTACTAAGATTAAACGCTTTTTATTAAATTTTCCTTGATTTCATACAAGTGATTTCTTTTCTGGACAATGTATAAAAACTGCAATATCATCTGTAGATCCGAACGCTTTCGATTAATCTATTAGACATTATAAAGGCTGTTTTTATTTATCCATATATATATATATATATATATATATATATATATATATATATATATATATATATATAGAGAGAGAGAGAGAGAGAGAGAGAGAGAAAGTGAGATAGATAGATAGATAGATAGATAGATAGATAGATAGATAGATAGATATAGAACAGTTATCAGTCAGAGTTGAATAAGATCAGGAAACATTTATATACCACCGAATATATATCTATATATTCATTTCCATGGATATGAGTTTGTGACCCTGGGCTTCACGCTATCACGATCATTAGACCAATCATCAGATAGAATTTCTGATGATCGCAAAACCCAGAGCCACAAACTCCATACAACTGAATATGTTAGCTCTAACACTGATATTGAGATCTTTCCAATAAGTACTGGTGCATATATATATATATATATATATATATATATATATATATATATATATATATATATATATATAATGTTTTTGTGAGAAAGGCCTTTTATGTGCATGTATGTTAAAGCATATTCGAAAATAATTAAGGAATTATTTGCCTAACACAAGAAAAATGCCATTGCTTATGCACCTGCTGCGAACGTTTACGCGATAAAATGTAGCCTGACGGCGCATGGCTTTATTTCCGGTTACAATGAATGGGCACATTTTATAGATCGCATGAAAAGTCTGATTGTGCATCATCGTAAGCTGATACAAGATTGTGTCAGTTTGAATTATCTAAATTTAAAAAAAAAAAAATTACCATCGTGAGATTATTTGAGATAAAGATCGGTATGCAAGTCTCGGAGAAAGAATGTGTTCAATACGAAGTGAGGGGGTGGGGAGAACGAGTGAATTGAGACTGGGAAGTTGTTGCGTATAACGACGTCAAATGATGGTAACGGAAAGCCATGAACAAAGAGATAAAAGGTACTGTTGAATGCTTAAATGTTTATGAGTGACAGGAAAGAAAGGAAGAATGGAAAAATATCTGTACTGTTCCCGGTAAGTCTTTAAATATATATAGAAATAGAAATATAGGTATAAATGGCTTCAGATAGATAATAGATAGATAGATTGCCGTCTAAATTAAGCAAAAATGAAAATAACACGGACACCTCATTTTAATAGATATATTTACCAAAATTACACAAAAAATATCTTGATATACTGAAGAGTAAATTATTTCAACAAAATCGCCACTGACTTCAACCATTGCCTCCAGACGACCTCGGAATCCTCTGTAAATCTCCTGGGCTGTCTCCATGTTTCCGTTTGTAAATGCTGCCATAATCATTGCTTTTAGTTTATCTTTGGCCCTACAAGGAGTTTTCTTGGCCTTTCGTTCAACTGTGTCCCACACATAATAATCAAGGCGGGTAAAGTCTGGAGAGTTAGGTGACTAGATGTGAAGGGTGATGTGGCCGCAGAAATTGTCTGACAGCCGTGACTTGGTCCTCCTGCTTGTGTGACATAGATAGATAGATAGATAGATAGATAGATAGATAGATAGATAGATAGATAGATCAGAACAGACTGAGATAGATAGGTATGATGAGGCTCATATGGATAAATCTTATTGCCTTTAGATAGGTCTGAATTGAGATAGATAGATAGATAGATAGATAGATAGATAGATAGATGAGAACAGATTGAGATCGGTAGGTGTGATGAGGCTCATATGGATAAATCTGATTGTGTTTAGATAGATCTAAATTTAGATAGATAGATAGATAGATAGATAGATAGATAGATAGATAGATGTGAACAGATTGAGATAGATAGGTATGATGAGGCTCATATGGATAAATCTGATTGCCTTTAGGTCTGAACGTAGATAGATAGATAGATAGATAGATAGATAGATAGATAGATAGATAGATAGATCAGAACAGTTTGAGATACGTAGGTATGATGAGGCTAATATGAATAAGTCTAATTTTGTTCAGATAGATAGATAGATAGATGAGAACCGATTGAGATTGATAGGTATAATTGCCTTTAGATAGTTCTGAACTTAGATAGATAGATAGATAGATAGATAGATAGATAGATAGATAGATAGATAGATAGATCAGAACAGATTGAGATAAGTAGGTATGATGAGGCTCATATGAATAAGTATGATTGTGTTTAGATAGACCTAAATTTAGATAGATAGATAGATAGATAGATAGATAGATAGATAGATAGATAGATTAGCAAACAAAAAACGCCAGTAGATCTTATGAACAAATTCTTTGGAAGCAATATCTTACCGAACATCAAAAATTTTCGCCGTAATAAATTGAAAAACCGGCCAGAAGTGGTTGCTGCATACCAATCAGCAATAAAGATATTGAAAACCAATTTCACCATCAAATATAAAAAGAAACATCAATAAGAATCGTGTGACACTTATGGCGATTCGAGCGAAGCAAGCGTAGCCTCGATTCGACCAAGTCAGTCGCGTGGGAGGAGAAATAGATGAAAATTTTATAGAACAGGTCTCCACATCGATTGTGGCTATGGATAAATTTTCTCATTACGAAAAGAAATGGTTCTTCACTCGGAATACAGGACCTACGTAACACGATCAAATAAAATTGATGCATTTTTTCATTTCGTATTAACCATTTCAATCCGGTTCCACAAACTGCGTACATTGTTTATTCATTTGGTATTCATGTCTTACCATTCTTACCTTCGTTTTTTCTTTATTTTTGCCTCCATTAAAGAATGTGTGACGTATCATATTATTCCTTTTCCGCAATATACCTCTCCACTACTCCATGAATCTTAAATGATGTTTCGCCTTCCTAACTGTATCCAGATACGACATAGAATTCAATTAAGGACAGACTTTTTTTTAATCATTTCATCCCAAGCAAGGTAATGAAGCCACCATGACTCAAGAGTTTACTGAGTGTTAGAGAATATGATAAAAACTACTATTAAGGAGGACGGACAATAAAAGAACAAGAATTAAGAAGACAGAAGATAACGATTGGCACAGTATTTAAATTTTTGAAGATCAAACTTGTCTGTGAAGAAGCTGAAAGAGAATTCTACGAGGGAGAAGTTCGAAAGAATAAACTGTTAACATAGAACCTAAGGTTACATCTCGCCATTCCAACTGTAAAATTATGAGACCTTCCTGCCTGTTTAATACTTCACCTAAATTCATAATGTCTAGGTACCATAGCAGAAAAGTTCATGAGAACAATTACCATGAAAGTATTTATAGAGAAAGCACGGGGAAGCTACGTTATGGCGATAGGAAAGTCGAGATGCCAGGGCAGGACCAATAATATTGCTGATTCTTTTTTGGATTTTATCAAGAATTTCTAAATATATAGCAGGAGTACCAGAGCTTGTGTGGTAGCAAAATACTTATAAATAGACTTATAAATATTTAAAACATATTCTGGCAAGAAAAATTGTCTAGCATGACACAGTGAACCAACTTTCTTAGTTGCAGACTTTGAAATTGATTTAATATTGTCTTTCCACTTCTTGTCAGCTGAAAACGTTAGTATGAAAAAGCACACGGGGTCACTCTCCTGGAAATTAGCATCAGCCATGCTGATGCAAGCTAAAAACAGTTCTCTCAGACGATTAAAAGAGAGAATTTTCGTTTTGGGGACGTTAAAATTAACAAGCCATTCCTTGCCCCAGTTAACAATATATTGAAGGTGATTTTGAAATCAGAACCTTACTATTAAGTCAGTCAGTTATGTGCCATGTGTGATATAAAGATGACGCAGCAGATTTTTTCCTGCAGTAGGTTTCCAATTCTTACTGCAGTAGACCAGTTGCCATCCAAGGCTATAGAACCCGATCTGTCCTGCTATTTCCCATAGCTGGGTGGAGGGAGAAGAAGAGGATTCATACCTTTCACAAAGGTAATAGCAAATAAGTGAATGTAATGGATTAGAATGGAATTCGAACTCTGCTCTCCGATTCCTCAATCCGAGCCGCTATCCATTACCCAACCGTGCCTCCTGCTGGAGTAAATAGCTGTTTTATCAGCACAGATACCGAAGTTGAGAACTGATGACACCAGGAAAGTCATTTATGAAAATTAGTAACATTGTAGGTCCAGGACTGAGTCCTTGGGAGCACTTACATGAATGTAAAAAGATCTAGAACGGCCGCAATTTAAGCAACATTCATTTCGCGATTTGATAAAAAAGATTGAATCCGTTAAAAGATTTGTACAGAAATACCATAACCTTTCAATTTGTAAAGAGGACCCGTATGTCAAACCCTGTCAAATGCCTTCGAGATATTCAAAGCAATAGGCCGAAGCTTCAACATTCTTATCTAAAGCTTGATAGACTCTTTCAGAAATAATTGTTAACACATCAGTAGTTGACCTAGAGAAACAAAAGCCATATTGCTTATCTGAGTGAAGACCCTGCGATGTTAGATGCTTAACCAATTCAGAGTTAATTAGAGCATCTAGTATTTTGCCAAAAAACGGTAGAAGGCTAATAGGCATATAGTTATAATTTAAAGAGAATTTACGAACAAAAAATTCTACTTAGTCATCAGAATTTAACTCCTCAAATTGAGTGAAAAAGGAGGGATAGAAAACTTACACTTATTTAATACACTATTAGAAAGCCGCCAGTAGTTACGAGAACAAAACTTGTTAGAGGCTATAAGGAGCCGCATTCTAGCAAACGAAGACTTAGCCTCTTTATTATCAATTATTTCGATAGGCACAAATAGGCGTCTTTTGTGATCGGAATCATCACACTGGTAAAAGAGATTCCCATAAGCTATATCGGCTGATAAGGCAGGCGTGAAGAAAGAACATTTTGATTTCACTTGATGTTTACGAGAAGGCACAAAAGTATCAGTGTCGGCTTTAACCCAAGAATAAACCTCTGTGGCATAATTCTCAATAGGATGGTTAAGAATATCAATCCCGAGGGCGTCCCGAATAAAGTCACGAAATGAATCCCAAGATGTACGCTGGTAACAAAAAGAAGTCATGTGAATAGGTGATCCCTTTCTTAATAGACGACTCAAAATAAATATGAATAAACTGCTCTCTATAAATGATATAAAAGACTCGTTTCTACCTCCCATCAACATGGCTGATGCTAAGCTCGAGGAGAATGCCTTATTGCGCCTTCTCAGGTTATCAATATTGTCTGACATGAAGTGGAAAGACTATTTTGAATCAATTTCTAGGTAGGCTGTTAAGAAAGTAGATTTATTGTATCGTGCTAGATAATTTTTCTCTACAGAATCTATCTTACATATCTATATTCGTATGCTTAGAATACTGCTGCCACATATGGTCCTGTGATCTATATATCAAGAGATCCTTGATAAAATCCGGTGAAGAATCAGCAATATTATCAGTCCTTATCTGGCGTCTCGGCTTCAGGCTTTTTTCCACTGGCGTAATGTTGCCTATCTGTGCTTTTCTATAAATACTCTCATGGTAATTGTTCGGATGAGATCTTCACTATGGTATCTAGAGTTTATAAATTTAAGCTTAGTAGCAGATTAGCGACGAGGTCTCATCAATTTACTGTTGTTGACGAGATGTAACCGCAACTTTTATGCTAATAGTTTCTTTTCTCACACTTCTCGTTTGTGGAACTCCCTTCCGCCACCATCTTTTTCAGTCGACTTCGACCTTCAAAAATATAATCTCAGTCGCTATCTACTGTCCTCTTGTTTACACTTCTTTTAATATCTGTCTATATTTCTGAGATGTGGTATCATGTACATTATTTACATTATTCGAACTATTGTCCTCATCTTTGTCGCCATATTTATTACAACGTTTCGGCCGTTGTACGCTCCGGCCTTCTTCGGGTGGTTAGAATGTCGAACTGAACCCTTTATTTCACTCACTGGGGTAGATTGTTCTAGTTCTACGTGCCATGTTTAATGGATGTCAGTTATCTCCTGTTAATTTTCCCTCTGAAAGTTCTGCACTGCCTTCACCGGGTATTGAACTCACACTCTTTGGGTCCTGTAACTGGATCTAACCAACGCCTTTATTCACTGTGCCATGTGTCCTTGAGGACTACGTTGTAATAAATATGGCGAGAAAGATGAGGACAATAGTCCGAATAATGTAAATAATGTACACTTCTTTTGTTCTCCCTTCTTAGTAATGATTCTGCTTTCTAAACATCTCCACCCAGTAACGCCTTGTGTTTTAGTGCCTTTACGGCCTTGCTTGGCATGAGCGCGATGAAAAAAAGATACTACAGTGTGATCCGAATTGCCAAGAGGGCAGAGTTGTAATACTCTATAAGATATAGGAGAGGATGTAAAGAATAAATTATGTAAAGAAAAATGTTAAACAGTTTTATCCAAGAAAATGATTTTTTTTTTAAAATTTAAATTGTCTCACTTCAAAACGTAGGCTGTTTTTCAACATATTTGTTTTCTTTATTAACTGTGAATTGCCCAGATTTCTTGAGAAATGTTCACTTTCCTTACTTTTCTCCACGATACTTTAATTCAGAAAAAGTACTTCTAGACTTGCACAATCTATCGTGCTAGTTAACTCGTAGCTAGGAGAAGAAATTTACTAAGGATATTTTTGCAAAAATACCAGACAAGGCGGGGATTTAAACTCATCACATATATACGTGTAGACAATTAGATTTGAGTACGGCTATCGCTAATCAGTACGCAAGAGCGCGGACAGGCGGAAGGTCATAAGCGAATGTACATCAATAATTATTATTTAAATGTTCAAGATTCGGCCTTTGAATTAAGGGAGGCGGCGGATAGGGGAAGAAACGTTAACTTCCTGACAAATGAACTGAAAGTTTCCACCCTTGTTTCCTAGATCTCTGAAGTTGTTAAATACCTATTCTCTTATTGTATTTCATGTCTGAAGACTTATGAATAGGAAACGATCATGCGTTTCCCCTCAATTCATTTTAATTGTTTTGTAGGCACTTTGTTTTTGTTGTTTGTTTTTTGTTTGTATTTTTGGGTATTTTTAATTTCATATTAATCTATTTGTTGTTTTTTTTATTGTTTGTTTTTTTTTTGTTTTTTTTTTTTTGGTTTTGGTTTTTTTTTTTTCATTATTTCATCCCGAAGCAAGGCGATAATGCCTCTAAGACGCCAGGGGTTACCGAAACTGGAAGAGCATAAGAAAACCTTAGAAAGTAT